AGATATCTGTGAGTTCGAAACCAGCCTAGCCTACAAGAGCTAGTTCCAGGGCAGGCTCCAAAGCCACAGAAATATACTGTCTCAAAAACAAAACAAAACAAAAACAAACAAACAAAAAAAAAAACTACACCAAGCTGATGTGGATAAATAAGAGAATCTGGGAAAACGATTGGCTGATGGATGTTTACTTGGGGAGAAATTACTAACCACTTACACCAGAAACAGATGACCACCAGCAGGTTCCTGTCAAGGATGCCTCTGGATGCTCCCTGTCTCCAACCAGGAAGCAAGAGAGAGAGCTGGGGTCCAGGACCTCAGACCTAGACCCCCCCCAGGTCATGCCCACACCTGTCCCCACACCCCAATGGATATGGTCAGAGCAACAGGTGTGGGTGGGGTTAGCTCACTACACTGGACATGTTGACACACATCTTTAACCCCAGCACTCAGGAGGCAGAGGTAGAGACAAGCAAATCACTTGTGAGCGTAAGGTCAGCGTGTTCCACATAGTAAGACCCTATGTCAAAAAATAATAATAACAATTGAGGGAAACCATGCTTAAAGAATGGATGAACCAAAGAACTTAGTCTTTCTTATGAGAATTCTGGAGTTAAAAATACAGTAATCCAAATGTAGGTCAGTAAAGCTATACAATCTCGATCTGGGTGGCAACTTAAATCATATCAACATACAAGTAATGGGATACTGAGGAGAAAGAGAAGATAAAACATTTGAAATAAAACTTCTCAAACTTGATGAAAAAGTTTTAGGTATACATAGAATTCAGGCAAACCCAAGTAGCATAAACATGAGAAAATACACAGACATGTGATAGCTAAAATGTTGAAAGGCAGAAAACCCTAAAAGCAGCAGCAGGAGAAAAACAATCTATCACATACAAGAGAACTTGAGGAAAGGAACAACTAACTTACCAGAACTTGTCATTGTGGTAAGTAAAGAAAAGAGATTGATGGAGACAGAGTAGAGGCCAGTACACCAGAATGCCAGTGAAGCTGAAAAACGATAGAGCAGTTGAATAAGCAAATTGAGAAAATCCAGCAAATCCAGCAAGCTTTGAGCTGCCATTTCTTTATTCCTCTGTTAGTAAAGCTCAATTACAAACTATACTCAAATGCTATCAAAAAAATTCTCTTTAACAAAAACATACATCCTGGCATGTGCACTGCAACACATTTACCTTCCTTCTTGTGACTTTCATGGGTTCATATTCCTGAAGATAAATCCAACCTTACTTTTTAATGTATTCATTTGTATTCTCTGAGTATTTATAATAATGGCTTATCTATTTATAATAATGGCACAGTATCTTAAAATTGTGCCTTGGTTTTTGTTAGTAGACTTTTGGAACCTGACCTCTTTATGCATGGTTTCTAAAATATGAGACTGACAAAATTCTTTTAAGGTTTGTCTCAAAAATACTATTTAAAGTCTTACCTTTATGTGTTATCATGAATAAGGGTTCTGAGAGCCAGCAGGGTGGTTCCCCTGGGAAAGCTGCTTGCTGCACAAGCCTGGAAACATGAGTTCAGTCCTCATAACCCATGGAAATGTGGAAGGAGAGGACCAACTCCACAAAACCATTCTCTGATCACCACATGTGTGCTGTGGATACCCATACAAACATCACACATGCACACACTTGCATGCAACAATAGTAATAAATAACGGAAAAAATTTAAAAGAATTTTCAGTAAGTTGGTCACTCTTGTCTTTTTGTGTATGTCTTCAATCACGGACAAACAAGGGCTGTCAGTGCCTCGCTGAGAACACTCTCTGGTAGTGCTGTGTAACCCTAAAAGGAGCTGTCCGTTTGAAAAATGTTCTTCACCGAAACCTCACACACAAAGAAGGAAGTCTGGCAGAAATCCCGGTGATTAATGTCAGAGCAGGGAAAGCTCTGTCTGCATCCCTGCCTTGGTTTACTGTGTGTGTAAAGTAGATTTTCTTACTGCAGTTATGCTAGGTGTATTTCTTCATTCTTGCTGTCTTTTTTTTTTTCTTTTGACATTTTAATGTGAATTCTAGTCTCTACTTTATAAGCTGTGGAAATGTACTAGTCCACAAATAACTTTACCTCATTTAAATTTTTATACAAGATGAAAATAGAAGTTCAAACAATTTTCCTGTTTGATAAACGTACTTTAAAACTGTTAGAAAAGATGGAAAGCAAGAATCATACTGACATTCATTTTGCTCTGTTACTGGCTTAAACAAAATGTTACCACAGCCTTCTTTTTCCAGAAGTGAACTATATAAGCTGTATCTGAAAACTGAGGTGTTCCCCATTCATCAGCTATTAGCAATGTGTGGGGATGAGGGTGTAGTCACAGAACTGACAGCTGCTGAGTATAAGTCAGTGCTGGCCACTTCTTCACCTATATATAAACAGACACTGCTGGGTAAGTCAATCAAGATAGTGCTGTGCCTGATGCACAGTAGGTGCTCACTGAAGTCACAGTTGCCCTGGAAGTAACAAACTCTGAGAAACACACAAGGACCCCAAAACTTCTCTGTGGACACAGAAGCACACACTGAGGCCCACTAGACCTTGCTAACTTACCAGCACTGTCCATTTCCTCTCTATATTGGCGGTGTCATCTTTGGTGTGTTTGAACTCCTATTGAGTTCATTGTAGGGATCTGATGTTTTCACAGGACCGAATTTTCTGACAACCATTTCTTCGTTGGCCACATTGAGTAGTACCATAATGAGGGGGCAAAAATTAGTAATCATTAAATTTGGCTCATAGGTATGTAGTTGTTCATTGTACTTATTTTCTCTAATTGCATATATTTGAAGAATATATGTGCATATAGAGAGACAGACAGACAGAAGCAGGCTGCAATAACTACAGCTTGCCCAAAGGTACTCTTCCTACCTTACCTTATTAGTCCACCAACTCCTACAGGACCTTTGCTGTCACTACACTTGAACTGCAAGGTTAATTAATTTCCAGCCGGAGTTACATATTGCAAGACTTACCTCTCCCCCTGAAAACCAGGGACATTTATAGACTTCATTCATTTACAAGGGCATTAAAGTCAATACTATTATGTTTGGCCTGGGTACTTTGTTTATACTAAAACCACAAAAATACTGAAAAAAAGTCTTAAAAATCTCTAAGAACTGCCAAAAACCTGAAGTACAGTGAGTATATGGACAATGATTGGTTATAAAGAGGGCTTATTTTAAAGCACTTTAAAAAGAACCCAAAAACACTATCAACATTAAACACCAAACACTAGAGGAACATTAAACACTAGAGAAATCTAGAGGTAGACCCAGAACAATTGCAAACTAAATCAAAGATTCTTCAAATGCTGCTGTGTAGGGAAATGGCTTAATATCAGCCAAGGACAAATTTACACGTTTCAGTGCAGTAACACATAAAAGTATGAGATGCTATTAAACATAAGATTAATCCAAGCAAATTACTTTCTTTTTTCCACCTATGTAGTGTCTTTCTGGTTCTTCTGTTGGCAGAGCCTAATAGGAACCAGAAATGTTTGCAAAATTCCAAAGGACTGTTGTATTGGTCAGTTTTTCATTGCTATCGTGAAATACCAGAGACAGGCTAATATATAAGAAAATATGTTTTATTTAGCTAATAGTTTTAGATTCTAAAAATCCAAATGAAGTGGTACAGGCTGATGAGGGCTCCGCCTTGGCCGCCTCACCTCAAGGTAGACTGCAATCTCAGGAGCAGTGTCTCTGTCTACACAGTGAAACTGGAGTCCAAACAAAAGCTTGGCTGAAACAAGGGCTGCGCCTTTCCTAAGAACTCTCGAAAGAACTGATAATCTATCTCTTTTAGAACCCCCATTTGGCATAACTTCCCACTAAGCCCCATCTAATAAAGCTTTCTCCTTCTATCATATTAAAGATCAAATCCTCAGGAATGAGTTGGAAACGTGAAGAACTAGCATGATGTTCTGAATTGTAGTACAATTGGACAATAACAGGAATTAACACTCTTGGAAGATCCTGTGAGTGTACATGGAGATTTACTAGGGACACTGACTTCTCAGTAAGCTTTCTGCCTTGTGTAAAATTAATCCTGTTTCGAAAGTTTGTCTCTCCTGTTGAGATTAACAGGAAGTGTTTATAGTCTCAGTAGTGTTTTGACAGGAAGCTGTGCAAGGTCCCTATGAAACCTGCATATCTAGCTGAGGCTTAAAAGGAAAGAACACAACAGCAATGGCTGCAGACCATCTCATAGTAACTAGTCATTCTCCAGACAGCTAAGCTTGAACTGTTAAAATCTTAGTTTGCTGGAGTATCTTCACCAAGACAGAGGGCCAGGACCCTGTTTCATGAAAGAGGAGATGGGCAAAAAGGTAGCCACCAGGCTCTCAGAGAAGAGAAATAAGAGCATCAGTCTTCATCTACATAGGCATCTTGGTGGGATTCTTAGCATCTGGAGAGTGAGTGGGGTGAATGAAATGTACCCACATCTTACAGATCAGTGGTCTAGCTGGGGATTTATTTAGTAGTGTAAGTCTATGAAATCAATAAGTGCTTTCTCTTATTATTATCTTATATTCTTGGAGATCAGAAGTCTAGATCAGCAAGGATGTACTCCTTTCAGGAGTATTCAAAGATACGTCCTTTTTCTCCTCCAGCCTCACAGTCTGACTACATTCACCACTCATGGCTGCTCCCCCCATCTTCCAACCAGGAACACAGCATCTTCTTATGCTTCATAACAACTCACTACTATAAAGGTTCTTGTGGTTAGATTTGTCCATGAGGTAGTTCAGGATGACCCCCTTCTCAGCATCAGGACCTTTCTTGCATTTAGAGACAACCACTGCCATGAGAAGTTATGTACTCATGAGTTGTGTATATCTTCATAATAAGAATTTACTAAATGATTACCAGAAGTGTGTGCCCAATTATTTGGAGATGTAGTGAGATTGTTGTTATTAAAGATATTTACATGTTTCTTATGTCCATATCTTGGTTTGTCTTTTTTTAAGGATGCTGAAGAATCACAAAACCACACTGGCGAACCCACTGGAGATGACTACAAAAAGATGGGGACACTTTTTGGTGAACTGAACAAAAACCTTCTCAACATGGGCTTCACGAGGATGTATTTTGGAGAACGAATTGTGGAACCAGTAGTGGTCATTTTCTTTTGGCTTATGCTATGGTTCCTTGGCCTACAAGCCCTTGGACTAGTTGCTGTTCTTTGCCTTGTCATTATTTATGTACAGCAGTAAAACATTGGACATTTGGTAGCCATGTATGTAACTGATAGAGCTATACACTTGGGCTTTTTGAAAGCCAAAATTGTTTGACATATTTCATATTGTATACTGGCTGTTTTATAATTAAAATTATAAATGAATTTCTTTAAAATGCAACTCTTTGTTATAACAAGGATGAATATATATTTTTGACTATTCAAACTCTTTTTCACTGCTGTGATCGGCACCTGCCTTTAGACACCTGCTTTCCCGTGCCAAATCTGAGCATCACCCAACAGTGATGGAGGAAATAGCACAGCATGGAGTTGCAGTGAGGTGGCATAGACCTTGTAAAGTCCCAATAAAACATTTTGGAAGATAAAAGAAGACGTAGCTAAGAATAAGTTTTCATTGGAAAGCTATTCCACCCCACTTCCATTGAACAAGCCCAGTTGGGGGAGATATTTTCTTTCTGTTATCTCTGTGTAGTCCAAAACAAACTAAATGGTAACTGCCGCATATCGCCATAGTGCCGTGAAAATGAATAACGCTAGCTGTTTTCTGAAGACTGAAAATAATATATTTATTATTGGTGGTGAAGTTTTGAGGTTAAATGCAACTTTTCATATGGTGTACTTGGGCCCCATTACATGGTTTGTGAAGTTAGAGTCAATTCTGGTGCTCATTTTTTGTGTGACTTTTTAATGCTGCACCCCTGGCAGTGCCTGTGATTTGTACCTAGCCAGTTGCATGTTTTTCCTAAAGACGTTTTCGGTGCATCTGTTTCCAAAGGTTTATAATTGTATAGTTCTTTTCTAACAATTATTCCAAGGTTTAAAACAATGCCTTTCTTGTCATGGCATGGAGTTTCTCCCCAAAAGAATGATTTCTATCTTACAAAAGAAAAAAAAAAAGTCATATCATTTTTCTTTGATAGCTGCATTGAAGAATACAAAAGTACAGAATAAAATCACATGCTTAAAATAAGAACTCGGTAGCCACTTGTAATAGTCTAGGGGTAAAGCCATTGGCTAGCCAGGTTTTTAATATGTACTATGGAGTTTTATATTGAAACAAGCATTTCTTTGTATATACTTTGAAAATGAAAAATGACTTTGTTAAAGAACCTAAAATCTTTTGCTTTTGCCTAAGAGTCATCTATTTGAAAAAAGATATTGAAATATGAAAATGGGATGGCGAAGTATTTTTGTTTGGCAGGGCATTAACTAAAGCAATAGGGTGTTTACTAGGCCACTTTGTAAAGTTCTTACTCTTGCAGTTTTAAACATTATTCTGTAAGAAATTATGAAACAGAAAATTATGAAAACATATAACTTAGCTTTCTAAAATCAATTAATTTTGCACAAAATAAATAAATAAGAAGGCAGGGATACTAACATGTATTGTGCACCTGTGTTTTATGCATAAACATAGGCCTCTAAAATTTGGCTTTTAAAAGACAAAAGTTTGTACTATACTGTGTTTTTATTTTGTTGCGATATTTTTGTAATCACCTTTCTAAGTTGAGTATCAGGGCAGGGTGTTTGGGAAAAAGTCCCCTGTGTGTACAGTAGGATTGCAAGGTTCTGTCAGAAGCCATGAGACTTTGCATATGTACACAAAATGCTAATGAGTACATTCTTCCCTAGTGCTACCAGGAAGGCTAATTAATTTCCTTTTGGAATGCAAAATAAAAGATGCAGTGTACATAATAGCAGCTCGGTTCTACCAGGGCTGCTTGTTGTAAATACTTTAAAAGAAGACCTAGTATTTATAATACAATGCCACATCAACACTATGCACGTGCACACTGGTGGAAACGGGTATGTTTTATGAAGAAATAAGGTGCATTTTCTGCGATCACCTCCGCAAACACTATGGATTAATGTAGTATTCCATCAGAGTTTTTGCTTAGTATGGAAAAACCCTTGATATAAAATATTTTCTCTTGTTAAACATGTTAGAACACAGATTGTACTATTTTTTTCTTTTTATTTTTTTTTATAACCAAGTCCATTTAAATGAAAACAAACATTTATAGACAATATTTGGGAATTTGGGCGTTGTTCTTTCCAAACTACTTCCTGCTGGTAAGGGCTCTGTCATGGGGGATTCTAAGAAGATGCAGAAATCCTGGCTGTAGTCTGTAAGGCTGCTTTGTCCAGCTGTTTTGAATGTAGGATCACCTGGTACTCTGTTTCAGGCGGTCTGGCTTGATCAAACCACATTAGTCTGGAAGGAATCCACAGCTTTTCATTTTCTGTGGAAACAAAAATAGAAATTCTTTTCCCCTTGAACTTAAATTTTGGAGCCGAAGCATTTTTTTTTTTAATTTATTATTTTACATGTTGCTCCAAGTTCCCTCTCCCTCCCTTCCTCCCTCCCTTTTACCCTCTCTGCCCTCTCACATGCACCCTAACCACCCTCCCCTCCCATTCCCCCACCCCAATTCCATATGTAGGGGAATGCCATCCAGCTGGGGTTATGTAGATCTGACAGGTCATGTGAAGTAGGGACTAGGGCTTCTCTCCTGTCACTAGGTTAAAGCAGTTATCCCTCCATGGGGGATGTGTTCACAAGGTCCTTTTGTGCACCAGGGATACATCCTGGCTCCACTGTCTGAGGTCCCTTAGACTGCTCAGTCCTTCTGGCTGAGACCACAGATTGTACTATTATCCTGAAATGAAACATAACTTCTTTGGTTCATGGTATAAAGAAATAGATTCAAAAGTATTCTCAATTATTTCAATTTCAATTGTAAGTTATAGCAAGATTCCTTATAAACCAAGAAATAGCAGTTAAGTGCTAAGGTCCTCGAACTGCTGGTGTGCACAGCATCCATACTGTTTGCCTTGTGTTGGAAGGAAAAGTTAAAAGCTAACACCAAGCAACCACATGTCAGTAGATCCATTCTCTTTGAACTGAACAGTATTTTGTACAACTCTTGTCTTGTGTTAAGCTGCCATTCTAGTCAGAACAAAGTGCATTTGTACACAGGAGCCGCTTGCATTGGCTGTCAAGAGCCTACACTATGTTTTCCTGCCTTCATTGACATCAAGTTGGTAGATTAAATTGGCCCTTTGGTGAGAATGCTTATATCATAAAATCTGGCAAGCACTACAAAGAAGGACTTTTTTTTTTTTTTTTCCCTAGAGAGCCAGCTGTTGAAAACCTCAGCATATTCCCAATCAGCCACCCTGGAGGCCACATTTCCATGACTACCACAGTCTTCAAAGAAAAGAAGGCAACACGTGTTGTGTTATAAAACAAGAGAAGTACGTGCATTATGTCCCCACATACCCACCCAGAATCACCTCTTTTCCATGTGGGGGCTGCACCATGGTTGTCTTTGAAATATGTTGTCTGATTTTGATGAGAGAAAATCTCTCTGGGCTGTCAGTGAGCTACAGACCCACAAAGGACGAGCCAGGAGACCAGGAAAAGGGAGACAAGACTTAAGGCACCACAATTTTTGGCTTAAGTAAAGGCCAGTTGTAATTTAGAATCTTAAAAATAGTCCAATCCAGGCAGTGAGAAATCCAGAGATCTTTGGTTTATAGCTTCTATTTAAGCTGTTTCACAAATGTTTGTTGGTTACAGATTATTGAAACTGCTTTCACCTTACAAAGTGAACAAAGGGGAAAAATCAAATTATGCTTTCAGACTTGTTAAAACTGTAGTAAATACTTTCTTAGCCAGGGCAAGTGTACAAAACAAAGAAGAATACCCAGGTCAAGGCTTTGGCATTACTGGTGGATTTTCTTTTGTACTGTTTTTCTGCTTTGTCCTTGGTGGTCAGACAAGCAGCCTGATCTCTCATTCCTTCACATGTCTCCTGTTTGTTGCTAGTTTTCTACTCACAGCTCCTCCATCTGCATCTCCAGGTCAGAGCACTATGCAGACTAGATCTTTCTGTTTAAGGGCTGGCTTGCTTGCTTACAAAATTCCTCAGACTTAGCACATTCACCATCTTTCTCTTCTGTGCATTCCCCTCCCCTTCAGCACTGCACAATTCTCTCCCCAGCTACCGAGGAGGAACTGCAACTCTAATCTTTAGCTCCTGCCTCTCCCATACTATCCACATACAACCAATACTGAGTCCTATCTGTTTGTTTGTTGTCTTTTTTTTTCTAATAATTCTACTTCTTGTAGCTTTACTTCTAATTGGTCTTAATAATAATAATAATAATAAAAACTGAGTCAGCTGTCAGGGTAAATACTAAAAGGTCAGAGAAGTACAGGGCCCAGCCACTAGAGAGACTTTTTTATAAAACAATCTGTTCTCCTTTTACATACCAATCCCAGTTCCTACTCCCTTCCCTCCTCCTGATCCCACCCCCCACCTTCCTCCTATCCTACCCCCCCATCCACTCCTCAGAGAGGGTTTCCCATAGAGAGTCAAGGAAGTCTGGCATATCACTTTGAGGCAGGACCAAGCCCCCCCCCCCATATGCAGACTGAGCAAGGTATCTCTCCAAAGAGACTAGGCTCCAAAAAGCCAGTTCAAGCACTAGGGATAAATCCTAGTCCCACTGTTCATGGCCCCACAGACTGCCCAAGCCACACAACTGTCACCCACATTCAGAGGGCCTAGTTTGGCCCTATGCAGGTTCAATCCAGAGTCAGTGAGCTTTTACCTCTACCAAAGGGGTAAGATCCTGTCTCCACAAATCCTCACACTGAATGCAATGAGCTCCTGTCTGCTTCTGCCTTAAATTCTCTCTGTCCAACCATATCACTCCTGTATCCACCTTCCTAGTGGTGGGATTAAAGATGTGTGACACCACTGCCTGGCCTCTACAGCTAACCAGTGGCTTAGATCCCCACTCTGGCCTTCAGGCAAGCTTTATTTGTTAGATCGCAAAGTATCACAACTTCTCTTCATTCCCAGCATCACTCACAGTCCATGCAGCCATCTTCTCACCTGGGAGAATTCTCACCTCTGAGAATCCTAATCCATCTCCCTACCTTCATTGCCCACTTGGTAGTTAAGCAATATTATGACTTTGATCTCCTTGATTTCAGTGTTTTTAATGGCTTCTTGTTGCTGTTATGGCAAAACCTATATTCTATAATACTTATGTCGCCTTTCATGAACAATTATTCTTCCACATCTCATCTTTCCATGCCACCACACTTTCCAAGACTCAGCTTCACTAAATGCTTGTATAAGTTTCTTGAAAGAGACACACATTCTTCCAGAACTTTATATGTGCTTTACTCTTTAGCCCCTCCTCCTCACACACATACAACTGCATGGGGTACTCAGCTTAAACATGATTTAACTTCCCCCTTTAAGCCCAGTGTGGGCACCTTGTGTGCTTGGTTCCCTTTTATAGCATCAGTACTCATACTATACAGCTTATTTGTTGGTTTCCTCCATTAGATAAAAGGCTTCACGTGGGCAGAGAACGTGTCTGTTGTGTCTGTAGTTACATTGCCAGTGCCTACCAGGACACCTGGCAGTGTAATAGGTTTGCAAAATAATTGCCAAATGAGTGAATCAACATCGTTCATTCACATTCTCTCTGTTGTCCATTTACAAGGGACCACATAGATGGAGGCTGGTGGCTCTGTGGTGGTGTGCTTGCCTTGCATGCTTAAAGCCGGTGGCTCCATCCTCAGCACTGAGAAGGAAAACAAAAGGAAGAAGGAAAAATTCTATACACCAGAATTCTTTGGCTCCAAAAAAGAGAGCAATTGGGTTGTATGTTATAACATTTATTCCTTTAGTGAATAAATGAGGGGAAAATTTTTTGTTGATGCCATGTTTGGTTGAGTAACTGTTTCTCAAGAAAGAATATTTTATAATAGATATGTTTGCTTTTGGTACTAAAATTTCATTCTACCAATATTTTTCAATCAAGTTTTACCTGCTAATTTTAATTTTTTTTAAGACAACTTTAAAGCAAGAATTTCTAAATATCTGATCTGGATATTTTGGGCTCCAGAACAAGTTCACCATCCAGTAGCCCAAATGTTCTATATTA